TTGGTGTAGCTACCAACCAATAAATTGCTGTAAACACTCATACCTCAGTCATAAGCCTACTTCAACAGAAGGCAGGAGGTGGTTTCCTCTGCAAGTACTCAGGACAGATGGCTCTCTGCAATCTCAGCTACAATAGCTCCTCCTCTGTAGGTTTTCATGAGCAAGACAGCTACTTAGGATGAGCAATGGCTACTTCTGGGTGTAGCATGACTGTCTTCTTGCCATCAGGTTAGAATGCACTGCTTGTCACAAATCACACAAGGATTTGACCCGAGACATTTCGCTACAAGTAAAGTCTATACTCCTAGAAGATGAACAACTTGTTTGCCACAAAGTAGGCTTTCCTAATTAAATATAAAAAACCTTTGGTCTAAAAAGCTATAGCTGTGTAGTGTGCAAACATTCTTATGGTCTATGGGGTCTTTTGCATACAGATGTGGTCGCCTCATCTCAAAAAAGATATATTGGCATTGGAAAAGTTTCAGAGAAGGGCAACAAAAATGATCAGGGGTCTGGAACAGGTGCCATAGGAAGAGAAATTAAAAAGACGTGAACTTTTCAGGTTAGAAAAGAGATTAAAGGTGGATATGATAGAGGTCTATAAAATCATGACTGGTGTGGAAAAAGTGAATAAGGAAAAGTTGTTTACTTGTTCCCATAATAGAAGAGCTAGGGGTCACCAAATGAAATGAATAGATAGCAGTTTTAAAACAAAGAAAAAAGTTTTTCTTCATACAACACACGGTCAACCTGTGGAACTCCTTGCCAGAGGACGTTGTGAAGACTAGGGACTTTAACAGGCTTCAAAAGAGCTAAATAAACTCATGGAGGTTAGGTCCATCAATGGCTATTAGCCAAGATGGGTAGGAATTAGCCTCTGTTTGTCTGGAAATGGATGACAGGAGACGGATCATGTGATGAGTGGGGCAGAGGAATCCAGCAAGGAGGTGCTGTAACAGCAGATCCAGGTGGTTAATATCATGGCCGTTATTCCGGAAAAACAATACTAGCATCCACACAGCAACTGCATTATTTCAAAAGAAAATCGAAATAACGGAGGGCGTTTTCCGATGTTGGTAAACCTCATTCCATGAGGAATAACGCCTCTTCTGAAAAAGCTCTTTTGGAAGATGGTGCGTGTGGATGCTCCAGTACTGCTATGTCAAAATAGCTCCTCACCAGGGCCATTCTAAAATTATTCCTCCTCAGTGCCTCCTGGTGCTCTAAATCGAGATAGAGCATCCACATTAGGGGAGCCTATCTTGGACTAATTTTGAGGTTTCCCTGCAGTGTGGATGCTCTATTTTGAAATAAGCTTGCTGTGTAGAGATACTTTAAGTTGCAACTGCATAAAAATGAATAAAAATAGATTTTACACTAACATAGTAGAGAGAAACTGAGCCACAAGCTTGTTTCACTGCTGGAGGCAGAAATTCTGGTGGCCTATGCAGAAAGGCCAGCAAAAACAAGAGACTGCCTCCAAATTCTCCACAGGTGGGAAGCATTAGCCCATTAGTAATGAATGAGGAGAGACGCTGTACAGCCAAAAGGCAGCAATATCAACAGAAAGAACCAGTTACATAAACACTGAGCATATGATATTTAGAAGGCTCATGATGTATCTGGAGTTTTTCAGAGAGAGAACTGTTAAAGAAAACAGAAGGAGGGGTGGGAGACAGAAGGAGTTTTATAGTGAATGACTTAGAGAAATCAGATATTTTAATACAATCTACTGGAAATGAGCAGGTGCTTTCAGAAAAGTTTGAAGGTGTTTATGGGATTCAGGCATCCAATTTACAATGAAGTCCCTTCAATTAGATGTATGCAAGCTTACAACATATGTCTGCCCTCCCCCTCTTTGTTTTTATTATGATTTTTCTGTAAAAAATGATGGGCTTTTACAGCAAAATAGCTAACAGGTGGAAAATGTGAACAGAAACATAGTGCAAGCAGATTTAACCGCAGAATGACTCAGCAAGGTCAACGCAAACTCCCCACCCAGGTTTGACCTTGCCTAACTTCACTGTAGTAAAAACTGGCTGTTTGTTGTCTGAACTAGGATTTTAGAGTGAACTAGCTAATGTATATTAGTTATCATTTTTGGCAGTGAAAACATAGCTTTAATCAGCAGTAAATTATACTGAATTTATAATTTCAGAATTGGTGTATTTACTTAATTGTATGCAGACAGGGAAACAGGAAGCTTTAAAAGGTAATATATATTGCTGAAGCAATAATGGGTAATACTGTACTTCCAAAACATGCATTTGCTGGATGTAGGAAAAGTCTGAAATAATTTCCACGGCTGCACTGAAAAAATGCTCTTATATAACACATCAGGAGTATTTTCATCTCATTTTTAAAGCTCACCCTTCTGTTCTTCAACTTTCTCATCTTAATAGCATTATTAGCCACTTCAGACCATTTTGCCCAATTTCCATAATCTAGCACTCAACTCAAGTAGATAAAATCAAATCAAGTAGATAAAATGGTCACTGAGGAGATACACTGGAGCAAATTGTCAGGGAGGAAGTGGAGGATGCAGTGGGTAGGGATGTTAAAATTAGATTAATCAACTAATCGAATAGTCAATGCTATTTCCACCGACTATTCAATGAGTCGATAAGGAAGCTTCTGCTTTGAAATGTAGGAAGAGCCTGCCTGACTGTTGCTACATTTCTATGGAGGAAGTGCCGCGTGGTATTCTGCCCCAGCCTCAGACAGTCCCCTGCTGGTTCCAGACTCCATGCGGTGCTTCTGCTTTGAAATGTACAAGATTCCCAGCGGGCTCTTTCTGATAGAGGAAGCAAGGAGGGGAAGCGACTAGCTGACTAGTGTGTCGTCTGATAGCTTTTGCTTATTGAACAGTTGACTAGTTGATTAGTCGCTTACATACCTACCAGTGGGGTGAATAACAGGAAGATCTGTATCACCAGCAGTCACAGATTCCCCAGTAACAGCACATGCTGCTGTCTGCTGCACAAAGAGCTTGCACAGAGCAGGGCGCACTGCTGGGCAGGTGGGTGTGCCTCAACATTCAAACAGGACTATACCAGCTCTGCTGTTCATGGGTACTGCAGCAGAGACAGATGGATGCTGAAGTTGCTCATTTATGTTCATAAGCAGGGCTCGACAAATCCGCTTACCTACTCACCACAGGCGAGTAGATTTCAGCCGTTCGCCCCGTTCACTGGCGGTTCGCGCATGTGCAGTGCGGGTCTCATGCATGTGCAGTGCGGAGCTGGTGAGTGGTTTTCGCCGCAACTGTCAAGCCCTGTTCATAAGTATCTCTTGCTTTGATATAAGGTCTTGAATGCACTGAACAGATTAAGTTCTACTTTATTATATATGAAAATAATACACTTTTTATGGACAGAAACACTTTTATGTTTAGTTTGTTGTGCACGAGAGCAATTCCAGGCTTCTATATTTCCGAGTGCCTCTCTCACCAAATAGACATATGAAACGTCTACAAAGCACTACCTAAATCCAAAGCATCTCTCTTCAGTAACTATTCAATCTCATGTTTTGCTCCTGAAATGAATTTTTTGTTCTGCCTAACCGCTACCAACCTATATCTGTTTATAACCGTAGCTCTATTTTCAAGTACTGTGTGTGGGATACATTATGGCTTCAGTTGTGAGCAGTAGTTTGTACTAAGTCAAAATAAATATATTTGTGGCTTTGGGGCAATGGAAAGTTAGATTAAATATAGACTTAATGTACTGATGCAATGAATTTGGTCCAGTAAGTTGCTGCAACTAACATGGAAATATCTGGGTCACAATCAAAAGTAACAAATGGTGATGAAAGTAGGTCATAAAATGGGTTTAAGTAAGTATAAGTACTACGGTAATGTAAAGTACACAGGTTTAGCAATCAGTGGTTTTGCAAAATGAGTAACTTATATGCTAATGGGAGAAAAGCAGATATGTCCTTAGGATTTATGGGGCCCTATGCAGCACGATTAAACTAGTGCACTTATGCCCAATGGCAGCCTGGGGCCAGGAAGGGAAGAAAATAATGATTTTTTTAGAGATGTGATTTTATAATATTCAGCAACACACTAATGAAATAGTTTTAAAGGAAATTTTAAACTAAAACTGTAGACTTACACAGTAAATTCAGAAACTGACAGCATATACCTGTGGTTGGCAAATGCCTGTTAAAAGGTTTCATTACCACTTGAATAGCTGTTTCACAGGTTGTGTGTTCTGCTAATAGGTCTGGCAGGGTTTTTTTCCCCCTTCCAACTTTAAGTTAGCTAGATCCTCTCCAGAGGAAGCAGAGCCACAGACCAGAAATAGGAAGAGACGGGTGGGAAGACATTAAGATCTAGTAATGCCCCAAAATTTCAGGTGCCCTACGCAGCTGCATACTCTGTATATGGGTAAGGACAACCCTAGAGAAAAGAGAATATTTTAAAAAAACAGAAAGAGCTACTAACTGGATACTAAGAAAGGCTTAAGATTTCTTTTTTCCCTTACTTTTCCTGCTATCCTATCTGAATACACCACTGACTTTAATTCTTAAATCAATGAGGACCTGGGACCTACAACCAAGACTTTGCTCCTGGTTTAACAAAGAGAATAGATTTCCTTTCAAATCTTTTGGAGCAAGATTTTGTCTTTACATTTATAGTGCTCAATGCCTCTTGGATACCACAAAAGCATATTATTTAAACTGTGGAATAGTATTTTAATATTTGTGTCCCTATTTAAACTACAATTTAATTCTTGTCAGACAATTAATGCTTTTACTTGATGTCTCCCGAAGCATGTAGTCTTATTTCTATTTGAATCAAATGAAGAAAGATCTTTTGTTATTTTTCAGTATGATATCATTATTAGAGAACCATAGATTCACAGTAATCATCAATTGGACAATTATAAAATACTTCTGGTAAAATGTTAAGCTTTCTGACAAAGCCTAATGCATTAAAATATGTGATTTAACATTTAGCAATGAAATTATTTATACAGATTTGTATATTTTCTTACCTAGAACATCTGCTGTGGCCATAATTTCACATGTATACATAGCTGCCATAAGTCTCTGTGGTTTCACTTGTAAGGCGTAACGACAAGCTTCCTTCATGGTGGCAATCAGTTGTCCAGAGAAAGGGCCATAACAATCTGCAATCACAATTTCTCCTTTGCGTTTACTTGATTTCGCAGATGAATTTGGGCTTCCTTGACTTGTACCCTGGAGTTCCTTATTTTCACTGGATGATTCAGTGGTATTACTGGTTAGAGATGTGACTTTGTCTTCATTTTTTGTCTGTTCTGTAGCATCCAGTTCCTCTGAATCCTGCCTATGAGCAGACATGTACTCTTCCACTTTACTCATGTCCCATTTTTCCATTATAAAACAGACACCCATGAGAGGTTCTTCACACATAGGACCTGAAAGTGTAGCCAACTGAAACCCACTTATTATGCTGTTGTCAAAATCTCGATATTTACTCACTTCTTTAGTAGTCTTATCAAGGCACTGCCACACAGATTTTTTGTGGCCTTCAAATTTATTTAACAAAATATTAGGCCCACATTTTCGTGGGCCAAATGACCAGATCTGATCAACAGCATTTCTCCACTTTCTTCCTTGCAGATTTTGTTCTAATTTTTGTTTAAACTCCTGGAACTTGCCAAGGATCTTTTGATTAATTTCATGCATTTTTTTATCCTCATTCAAAGATGAGTTGAATTGCTCCATAGTACGAATTAAGTCACTGTTTTCTTCAAGAAGCTGAGTTACCTCTTCTGGAAGTGGCATGGCTCTTACACTGAGCGTGGCACTTTTATTTGGTGTAGACATTGTTATGAGGCCATCAGAATCAACCTGAACTCCTTCAGGGACTTTATTCTGATCCTCTTTAGCCTGGTGTATGACTGCAACTTTCTGCTGTTTTCCTATTTCCTCATTCACCATGTCAACTTTTGGAGGTCTTGTTATTGTCTCCCTGAATGGGATAATTGGTTCTGATACACTAATTTGTATCTTTGCAAACCTACAAAAATTGTAAAAATATTAGTTTATAAACTTAAAATAATGCCTATATCATGAAACAAATATTCATTAATAAACCTAATTACAAAAAAAGGGGGTGGGTGGGATGGGGCAGACTGTGGCATTTTAGCTTCTGGCTACAGTCAAGTTAGTGAAAAAGTACATCCTCAATGGGAGTGTCCAAAGGCATTGTACTTCAAAAAGAAAGCATGGCCGCTATGATACCTTTTGAAAGAGAACTGTATTGAGCAAGCTTAATTAGTTCTTATGGCAGGGCATAAGGCCATGTCCCCATGCCATTGTGGGAAGTGATTACCATTGCTTGCATGCAACGACATAGATTAGGAAATGGAAGGCTTCTTAGCCACACATCCCTCTTTAACACCCATAGATCTGACCAATCTAGTCCAAAACATATTGCATAAAGCACTACTCTGACAGTCAAAGTCAGTAATCTCTTCTATTATTTGTTTGGTTATCCAAAAATCCCTTAATTAATGCATCTCAAGTGACAAACATTACATTGTACAGTAGCTCTAAATGGAAAACATTTGAAAGCAAATTCAATGATTTCAAGAGGCCTTCTTGTAGAAGATGACAGTACACAAGCTTGTCAGACAATAGCACAAAATGTAACAATGTGAAATAATTAAAATAAAATTGATAAACTACAGAAAAATACTAAACCTTTACACTGGAATGACAATGACACATTACTACATGTCATAAAATAACAGTCCAGAGTGAAAAGTTATTCAAGAGGATTCTAAGACTCAAAATACAATAAAAAACCACTAAGCTGTTGGTGAACCCCTTTACCTGACTAAATGAAAAAGGCAAGTTTCTGATCATTGCCTACAAGAAGCTATAGAAAAGGAGAGTAGCAATGGTAGGAATATAGTGGGTCAGGGTGTTGATACTTCATAATTAAAATCTATTGAAAGCATTGATTGACCTTTTCAAACAGATATCAAAAGAAAGAAAAAAAATCTGAACCAGCAGCTGAGCTTCCATCTGCCCATTATGCTGTTACTGTTCTTCTCTGCTAGTTAGCATCTCAGAAATCTTTATACTTTACAAATAATTATTTTAGGGTAAGAGTTTGAAGGTATGTTCTGAAAAGGACTTCTTACGAATTGATGAGAGGTGCTACATACATATAAAAAACCTGTTTTGTAAGCAAAACACAAACAGAGCAAGGCACAGCAAGACACAACTAGTCTGAGTTAAAGGAATTTCAGCAACATCATAGTATCCCATAAAGCGTTTATAAGCATGATTACTGAAGTGCCAATATATTGTTCATCACTATAATAATGAAGAAAATGAAATAATGAAAGCTAAATCTGAAAAGAAATGTCCATTCAAGTGAGTATTCTGCAGAAAGACTTTCACCTCTTTTCAATCTTGGATGTTTGTAGCACTTTTTGAAGGCACAAACAAAAAATGCTTGTAATGTCAGAAGTGTCAAGAGACTCAAACTACCACCCATAATTTTCTCAGACAAGAAATTACAATTAAATTAACAAAAGTTTATGAAACGATTAAGAAATATTATGTACTTAATATTCAACGGGATAACAAGAAAACAATGTATTAGATGTTATGCATGATTTAAAGGCCCAATGGGTTATGATATCCCAGGGCATAAATGCACTTTGGCCGGGACTAGTACTAATGATTTCAGGACCAGTAAAAACTTTTCTAAGCCTTGATTCTAGTTCAGTGATTAGAAAGAAAACATGTATTAGCATTGAAGTCCCAGATGAACCAACCCTCTGTATCCAGTCAACCTACTGATCAGACCCAATAGTCATGTCAGATTGCAAAGATATATCTACAGGGAAGAATCATAGTTACATTCTCAATTTTGACCACCTTGAGTAATGGCTGACTCCTCCATTTTACTTTGTGTGGATTACATAAATCTGGGACTCTGATACACCTTATTCAAAATAAACATAGTCAGGCCTTGAGGACAGACAAATTCAT